TTGAGTAGCCACCCTCTAGCTGGTAAGGAAGGGCCACTCCGTGCTGCTCCAGACTACGAAGTAGTCCTGCTTCCAGGCCAGGACCTTACTTGGGAATTTGTGTAGCATTTTGAACCCCGGGTGAGGGGACAGATAGTAGGTCTGCCCTTGCTCGGGGGGAATGCCCGAGGTACTCTTCTTTATCAACAGAATGGAGCAGAGGATATCTGCGTCCAAGGAAAAGTTGTATTCAGAACAGAGGGAGATGGTCCCGACCATGTTCCGAATAGAGTTGGGGTGGAGCTGGTCTAACGTGATGTTGAAGCGCCCCAACACCTCGGGAATAAGGTGATGAAGAGGGAGACGAAGCCCACTGACGAGTTGCTCCCTAAAGATCACGATCTCATCCGGACCATTCTCCCAAGGCAAATTACCGGTGGGGTGACTATATGAATACTCCTGAGGCAGGTTGAAGTGCTGGATGGGGTGCTGAAGCCTCTCTAGCGTCATGGTAGATGGACCGAACTGATCCGGCACCCGACCTCGATGGGAGGTGGACGCCTGCCTACCCGAGGTCACCCGTGCTTCGTGAGAAGGTCGGGCGATAGCAGGGTCACCCTGACCCGAGGTATCCACCTCGGGTTCGTCTAAGAGACTGTCCCCGCTAGACATGGAACGAAAATGAACTAAAAAAAAGGAAAGGAGAAAAGGAAGCTCGGGGACTCACCAAGGAAAAACGCAACCGAACTAGAACTGGACGAACTAGGAGGACCTGAGCTGAAGACTCCAAACGCAAGCTCAAAACGGAAGATACTTAGCGGCGATGGAAAATGACCAGAATCCGCCACTATTTATAGCCGCGGGGCCCGGGCACCAACGGCCAAGATCAAAGCAATCTGACGGCCCTCAAGAAAACCGGTTGCGAGACTCTCAAGGCAAAATCAGCTTAGCACATTTTTTAACGTCCGTGAAGTTCGAATCGCGTGACGTCCGCGCGTAAGTTGTGCGCAACCCAGGTTTCTCCTCTCGAGCGAACTGAACACCAGACCGGACTGGCCAACGGGCTGCCCAATAGGGTAGCAAATGTTCTGAGCCAAATCCACCCGGCGCACCATGAACTCCCCGTGCTGGGTCAGCACCCCCAGCACGGGGAGTGGGGGGCAATTGATGGAGGGTGATTTGGCCCGACCTCGTAGCTCGGGGACACGTGTGCGTGACCTGGCTGAACGATCAGCTCAGCCTAACAGCACAGCCGCAACTCGATGGGAGGGACCCCCCGAGCCCAACACTGGCCACTCGGCTGGACAAGCAACTCGCCGGGGGCCGACACCCGGTTAACCTTGACTCCCACCATGTGTAGGAGACCCCGAGCTCGCCCTAAGACCCGAGCTCCTCCTAAGAGGCCCCGAGCTCTCCCTTCCCAAGAAGGGAGCACCTTGGTTTTTGGCTAAGTGTCCTGAGGGAGAAGCACCTCGGGACAGCACCGCCTCCAAGGCTGGTACCCTGGCACCTCGGTACCTCAGCAGCTCGGCAGGCGGCAAGGAGACCTGCCTGACGTC